TCATATTTCTACTTCAGATTTATAACAAATGCAACTACGAACCACATAAACCACAAAAGAAGAAACCAGAGTTCCTAGCATACATTTATGCGTACTATAACTTCAAATAAACTCAACTAATATATGTTATCAAATAGAATACACCAACTTAGACATGTGAGCATGCTGCTTTGTCACAGTTGAGTAAGAATTGGCACTTGAAATGTAAGCAAGCAGCTTTTAAACTTTAAGCGAGCTGCAAACTATAACCAAGCTATAAACTACCAGCAGTATTACTCCTTTCCCTTGCCTTTGCTAATGTAAGCAACCTGTACAGAATCAATTACAACCTTGTGTTACAGAAATGAATGATACTTGTTGCAACATTCTAATATATATCACTGATGGTTGAATTTATCTTGTTCAGAATCATCTAGCAGGACTATCATCACACTGAAACCAGCCACATCACAATTATATTGATATTAAAAACAAAAAAAAAAGCACACAAATACATCAGCAACAAAAAAACTCATAGAAAACCATTACTGAGAAACTATCAATCAAAACAAAAAATCTAAAATCACCAGCACCAGAAGCTTAATAATAAGAATCCAACAATCTAAATGGCCAAGAAAAGAAAGGGAGGGAGAAATTATGATTTCTTTGATTGTTAGAGGGAGTGAGGATGGCCAAAACAGTCAAGTAGATCCCTTGCAATTGCTTAACCTAAAAAATTTTCAAGAACTCGTCAAGAACCATTGGTGCAGATTCAGACACTCATCATATGAATGCCAAAAACAGTCATGCAAGTCCCTAAACAACTTCCTAAACATCAGATTGAAACAGGAATGCCAAAACCATATCGAAGGAACAAACATTATGAGGCAAGATCTAAACATCTAATTTTTATTTTAAGAAACCTAAATAAAAAAGCCTAAATGCCTAGGAAGGAAAGGAACCAACATACCATTTCTTTGATTGTTAGAGGGAGTGAGGATGGCCAAAACAGTCAAGCAGATCCCTTGCAATTGCTTAACCTAAAAACTTTTCAAGAACTCGTCAAGAACCATTGATACAGATTCAGACACTCATCATATGAATGCCAAAAATAGGCATGCAAGTCCCTAAACAACTTCCTAAACATCAGATTAAAACAGGAATGCCAAAACCATACCGAAGGAACAAACATTATGAGGCAAGATCTAAACACCTAATTTTTATTTTAAGAAACCTAAATCAAAAAGCCTAAATGCCTAGGAAGGAAATTGAACCAACATACAATCACTTAAGAAGCAAAGGAGTGTGCCAAGGACTCTGGGGGTTCTGGAACTTACCACGGACGATGCCGGAATCGAACTCTGTTAGAAAAATTAGGGTTATGTAAAATAGAGATGACAATTAGGGATAGCGTTAATTCAACTGGAGAAGGACTAATTGCCGGAACAATTGTCACCATCGCAATGGATTTGTTCAAAAATGGGGCCGGCGATGGGATTTGGAATCGGAGAGAGTTGTAAAGTTTGGTTTAGGACTTAGTTTTTTTCAACTCTCTTGTGTTCAGAATGGTTTAGGACTTAGAGTTTTTTTCTTTTGACCAAACAAAAGAAAAAGTAGTATTTTCAGTTTGGGGGAAAAAGCGGTCAATGTGAAAAATTTGGGTGAAGCAGCAAAGTTTCCCCTCGTTTTTTTCATGCTTTACCAGAGTCTTTAAATTTTTCATTTTGACCACATTAATATAAAAAAATTCATTATAACACTTTTTTTTATACAAATGACTCTTAATTTTATATATACTGAATCAAATAGATAGAAAGGCCAAAAATTTTCAATTATATCCTTCACAAATTTTTTTATTAATAATTTAACTGGAATCGTTTTGTTTTTTACAAATTAATCCTTTTTTCTTATATACATAACACAAACCCATATATTTGTAAACCCTAAACCCTAAAGTCTATAAACAATTTGATATAATCATCTAATTAATTAAATAATATGTCATAATTAACTAAATTTCACTCCATCGATAATCAATATACAAGTATGCACGTATGTACTCATAAAGATAGTCCATATATATAATTATAGACATACACTGTACATATTCATAATACATCGGTAGGGATCTCATGTATATATATCGGTCACGTATACATATATATGTCGTAATTATCTATATATAACAAATGTTTATATCAGTTTCATATATATACGTACATACTTCTCAACAATAATGGATTATAAGATCAAAAAAAAATCCAATAAACACATTACTTTAAATAAATTAATTAATAGGATCAAACTATTAATTAAAAATAGAAGTGCCTAAAAATTTGTGATTTCATTTTACTCACGACTTTTCCACATGTAACAAGCCATTACCCACGACAACATTACCCACAACAAAAATCATGGGTAAATCGTGGAAAATGTTATTATTACCCACGACTTACACACGAAAAATATCGTGTTCAATTCACCACAACATAGTTTGTGAGTAAAACGTGAGAAAATTGTTGGCGGGAAAAAATGTCCCACGAAATACCCATGACATAATTCGTGTGTGATTACTCACAGCAGTTTTTGTGGGTAATTCGTGTGAAACCATTTGACGGGAATACATTACCCACGGTGTACACATGACTTTTTTTTACGGGTAATTTCGTCGGTAAAACGTAAGTATGTTGTGACTAAAGTTAAGATCTGATTTTGGTCAACGTTGCGTGAGTAATTCGTGCACAATCTGTGGGTAATCACCCACGATTTACCCAAGACGTGCTGAAAGACGTGGGTAACAGCTGGGTTCCTTGTAGTGTGAGTGACCTTTTGGACAATATGGGAAGATTGAACGTCGATTTGGTCAAAAACTTTGTTTCCGAAAGAAACAGTTCCTCAAATCCTCACCATATACATCCCAGAAACGTTTGATCATATGCAAGACAAGAGAGTCAGGAAGTTTACGCCTTCAGGAGTTTACACTGTGAAGACTGGGTGCCATGTAGCTATAAGCAACAGGATCGCCCAAAGCATCACCCCCTCGACATCAAGAGTGACAAGCCTATCAATAGAGGTCTGGAAAAGATTCTGGAAAGTCAAATTATCAGCCAAAATGAGATGGCTGGCCTGGAAGGCAGTGAACAATACCCTCCCCACCATAAAAGCACTGGAAAAAAAGAAGATAAGAGGCCAGAAACACCGCCCTCGGTGTGGTGAGGTAGGAGAAGATACTGAACACGTCTTCCTGGAATGTCAAAAATCAAAGTTGGTGTGGAGGCTCTTAAGCTTGGGATTTGATTTTGACATCGGACAGAGTACAAGTTTTTGTGGGTGGTTCAATGATTAGATCTCAGAGGCGCCGACAGAAAAATATGTACAGCATTCCTGCTATCTAATCTTGGCAATCTGGTTAATGAGGAATAAGGCGCTGTGGGAAGGAAAACAACAGGACCCCATGGAAGTGCAGACGTGGGCAACAAAAGAGCTACAATATTTTCAGAAAATCGCCAAAAAGGAAACCTTAATACAGGAGTCAGGACAGGTGACGTACAAGGACCAGCCACCGATAAGGCCACCCTTAGGCAGTCAACCTGGCCATATCATCAGAATAAATGGAGCTTTCAACCAGGAAAGTCGGAAGGGAGCTGCTGCCTGAGAGATCCTGTCAACCACAGGAACTCACATAACGTCTGGTTTGGAGACTTTTTATGCCTCTTCAACATTACAAGCGGAGGCTATAGCCCGCTTAAAGAGGATTTCAACAAGCAAAACAAATAAACCTGCAGGCAGGAGAGCTCCAAACAGACAACGTTGCGGTAGGTGTGATCTCAAGGTCCAAGGGGCTACCACAACCTCTAACCAGCCTGGGGGAAGACATTTTAGACCTGGTAATTTCAATGCAAAGCATGAATATATGCAAGGTAGGGAGGAATTTAGTGGAGAATGTACATAGGATATCCAAGGCTTGCCTAACTTCTACAATATCGTTGTAACCTTCCCTCTTTCTACACTTAATATAAAATGCAAATTTGTTGTAAGAACATAAAAAAATAAAAATCTTTGTATTGTGAACTAATCTACAAGTGTTAATTACACGCGGGTGGGTTTGTCCACTCGCACCCCACTTTTGAAGCTTTGCCCATCTGGCCCGTCACACCGCCAGCCCCAATTCCCACTCCTACTTTATGTTTAGTACATCTTTTATTTTCATTTTGCATTTCTTTCAATTTTCTCTACCCCTTTGTCTCTTTTATTCAATCAAAAAAGTGAGAGAAAAGAAAGAAAGAAAGAAGATGATGATTTCAGTAAAGCAGTGTGTGACTGTGTGTTTTGTGAGTCTTCCCATACAAAATTATTAGCAGAGAACTCGAGTCATTTTGACTGACTTTGAGAATTGAGACCCCTCCCAAACCCCAATATTCCACCATTAAATTCCTCTTCCTTCTTTCTTTCTTCTTCTTCTCTTTCTTTTGCCCTTTTTGGGTTTCATTCTCCCCCACATGTGTAGTGCAAGTGTGAGTTAGGTGAAAGGAAAAAAAAGAAGAAAAAAGTTGGGTGAGTTCTGAATCTGAGTATTCACTCACTCACTGACGAACGGAACAGACAATATGGTGAGGAAGCACGGATGGCAGCTACCTGCTCATACCTTTCAGGTTTCTTCTACTCTTCTCCTTTTTCTATGAAAACCCATATCCTCTTTTTCGTTTTTTTGTTTTTCAATTTTGGCTAAAAATTGTTTACTGCCGCCGGCATGGTCGATGTGCCGGCGTTTATGGAACGATCGTCGGCGATGAATGTGGTTTGCTTCGATTGATTACGGAATGTGTTTCGAATGTTTCCAAAATTAGTAATATAATATCCATAGAGTCAACGGGCCTATTTGGCTAACTCCTCATTTTTTCACAGCAATTTTTTTCTTTTAATTGTTACTAACGTAAAACAAAAGCGAAAATGCTGCTTTTATATTCCCTATTTAGACATTTGCCCCTAGATGAATATTGGGTTTGGGTGGGCGGGTAGGACTCATTTTGGAGCTGTTAGGTGGAATATTCCTTATCTTAGGAAGAAGCCGTTTTCCCCTGTCTGCTTTCATGGTCGATTTTTATTGTGTCCCTTCTGATGACATTGATGTGATATTTTTTTTGAGTTGGTTGCCAACCTGATGTAGCCGTTGTCCTGTCAGAAAATGATGACCGGCCATGATAAAAATAATTGGGAGTAGTTCTATCGGAATACCAAAATAATACTCCCTCTGCCTGAATGAGAAATGGTATAGCTGTCTCAGAGATATTAATAGTCATAAGGTGTTGACCGGAACGGGTGTTTCTGTTCAATGTAACTTTCTTTAACACAGAACACTAGTTGCAGTTACACAGAAGATTTACGGATTTGCAATGTAGGATTCGTATCTGAGCACAATGAAAAGTGGTGAAATGTGGACTATTCTTGAGACAATGTGAGTTTGTTTATAATGCTACAGATTGGTAATGAATTTAGAATAGCTCTGGTTGAAGAAAATATGTATGCCTGGTTAGCAAAGGTTATTTGATTGTACTTATGAAGTAGATAAAATTAAGCCTAAAGCAGTTTGAAACAAATTAATCTAGAAATCATCTGAGCATTTGTTTAAACTTTCTAGCTTCATGCGGGAGAAGAAAGAGGATTTTGAGTCATGATGATTCTTTTAAATCTTTCAAAAGTGTGATTAGGGAAAGGCTGTGACAGCTGACTAAACTGTTCAGAAAAAAGTTTAGTTAGCAGCTGGTTTTATCAATGTGTAACTTATTGGAACATAAACTTCTTTTTGGTTACTGGGGGACAGTCATTCTATTATTATAGATATTGTTATGGACTAATACATGTTTCTGGAACTTCCTTTCTCATACAGAAGAGCAATTTATTATATTTTTTTGTATTGTAATCGCAATGTCCCTGTTGTCCCTTTTTTCAGCATTATGAGTCAATGGGAAATGGTTTTGATATCAAGAAAGGGACTTCTCCATCTTTTAGCCGGCATAAAAAGTTGCAATGTTATTGTTGTGGAGTTACTTTTAATACAATAAAAAGAGATAAGATACATTCTTGGTTCTGTAGATGTAGAACACTAATTCATTGATTTGGCAATCGTATACTTATGTAGATGAGTAAATATTAATCTTCTTGGCAACCTAATGGTCTTAATTCCATGAATGACAAAGCTTGCAGATGTCTGGCTGCAAGTGGTCTTTTCGTTGGTTGTAATTGTTGCTTCATACACTATTGATATGATGCTGATCTACCTTTTGGATAGGTGGTTGCCATTACTGTATTTTGCTTGCTGGTGGTTGCGTTTTATGCGTTCTTTGCTCCTTTTCTTGGTGGCCAAGTTTGGGAATATATCTCAATTGCTGCTTATTCTCCTGTGGTAAGCACTCTTCCTTTCTACATCATTAGATCTTCTTATGCTTGCCTAGTCATGTTAGATTGATGATTCAAGCAAATTGTGGATTGAAGTATATTTAGTTGGATTAACTTGTTTTTGGTTTCTTTTGCTTCAAAAGAAAAAGCCACATATTGGGTCTTATAATCCAGTGATGTCAGAAACAATGCTTGAACACGCATTCACTTCTTTATTGTTTAATCAAGATTGAAGTAGCTACTTGTATTTTTGTCTGTAAATTCAAATGGAACACCTGTATTCCATTCCATTATCAGTGCAATTTCATTCATTTTCAAGTTTTCATTTCCAAAACATCTTTCAGAATGTGCTATTTAATTATAGTTTTATTTTTTAATGGATTGTGTAGTTCACTTGAATATTGCTTTTGAAAACATCCTCTTTATGCAATTTGGACCAATCCATTGTGATTCAAGCACCAACTTCTGTTTATTTTGATGATGTATTTTAGCATGGATACGATTCAAAAAGCCAGTAATGTTTACTTGTTTTACATTTATCAAGTCCTTTCTCTTTACCCAACAATCAACTAGAGTTCCTGATGTTTTGAGGTACAACGAACTAGTAAAGCTCTATGTTTATGGATGTCGACTTGCATATATGCATTTTTATATTCCTCCCAGAACTTATGTGATGTTTTTATGCTTGTTGACTACCTTTTGCCTCATCTTTGTGACTGGTTTTATAATTTTTGATAAATTATTTTGGTGGCACATGTCCGTTATTTGCTACAGAGTGCTAAATGTGTTCTGGACTTTAATATTTTAATTAGCGCCAGCAATATATTAAATGTGCTTTCTGTTATTTGTTTCATCAATGCAGGCGCTTCTTGTATTTGTTCTATATGTTCGGTGTACTGCAATTAACCCTGCAGATCCTGGAATCATGGGAAGATTTCATCCTGAATGGAGAACTAACCCCAGCATTGGCCATGGTCTATCTGCTCGGGATCTAACAAGTAAAAAATACGATGAAAATAGTGTTGGGGCACGTTCTTCCCTCTCATCTGCTTCTAGAAATTCTATTCCTGCTGCTAACTCAAGCAGGAAGGCTTCATTGGAAGCTGGGAGTACCAATGCTCAAGTCTCATCTCAGGGTAGGAAGTTATCTTGCTGGCATCCTGGAGAAATCCTCTGTGCAATTTTTGTTCTCGAAGATTGCCGAAAGCCAGATGAAACAGGTTACCAGGAAGGTACAGGTGAAGATGCACTATTCTGCACTCTGTGCGATGCTGAGGTATTTTATGTATTCCGGTGTTGGTTTTTAATGTTATTATTATTTTGCTGCATTTTTTTTTCCTATGGTTTACAATACAGCTAAAATGCAAATAATTATACTGAATGCAAACTGTCATTTTCTTGACAATGAAGAAAGGGAAGTCTTGAAAGACTAAATCTTGCATCTTTACTTAACTGGGAAACGATAAAATGGTGGACACCAAAAGAATGTCCAACACAAGTGAGGAAAATAAGTTATAATCGAAAATTTAAATATTCCTGCTAACAAACATGACCTTTCTTGGAACTTAGGGGTGACCAATTTGATTGTGAAGAATTGCTTCAAATTTTAGAGCTTTTTCTTCTTGAAACAAATCAAAATGAGATTCACTACCTGTAGTGATACAATTGAGGGTGAAAATTTTAATGGGACAATTTTCTAAATCAACATTTTCTTTGGTTTGTATTTGTAAGGAAAATGATTTAATAACATTGTTCCCATGTTTTTTTATTGTATCTTATATGGATATTTTAGGTCCTCTATCAGGAAATGATGTTGACGCAGGACAAAAACGTGGTGGTTAAGAAATCAAAACTTAGGCTCATTAAAGAGTAGTATGCAGCGGAAACTAAAAGAATCTGTAGGAAAACAAGCTTGGAAATTGCAGGAAAACAGGGATTAAGAGTAGGAAAGGAAGAAGAGAAGAAAACCTAAGAATCACTCTTAGGGCCCTTTGGCGTCACACCGCAGGAATCCTAGGCATCACACCAAGAATTTAGTTGAGTCACACAACTATTGCAAAGCAAAGCTTATTGCAGGAATTTTTTATTAAACGTCTCCCAAAAATCTCCTCATATGAGGTACATATAAATAGGCCTAAAACTTAACCTAAACCAAAGACAACTAGGATTCTCACCTAATTTCCTTTTTATTCCAAGAAATTCCTGCAGCATAGCTAATATACTAAATACCCTTTACTAAATATTAATACTGAAATAAATAATTAAATTACTGCTTAATAAAGGATTAACTTAACCAAAGTCCCAACACTTTGGCCCCTTCCTTGGATCATGATGATCCTGGGCATAAATATGAAAGAACCTACTGATAGGGTTCTTCTACCGTTCCTTGTCCCCATCATTCTCCCCTGGTTCGAAAAAACTCGTCCTCGAGTTCTAAAATGTCTGAGAATGAAGAACCTGACAATCTGAAACATAAACCATGGCACTGCAGCATATTCAGCATGAGAAAACTTCTTTCGGCCAAATGTAGGTATAAGAGTAGACATTTGGAATGTACTTGCTGGTTTGTGGTCATAAACCTCTCCAAAAATGAAATCAACTTTCGAAATTCCAGGATCATAAACTTTTGAATGGCATGTCTTTAAAACTTGATTCAACTTCACAAAAGTTTCGTTCGGACTTGTAGCACGGTTTCCATGAATCAAGTCAGTTGACTTCTCACATGAACCTCCCTCCAGTTTAGGATGCAAAATATTTCTCAGCAGGGCTCCTCCTTTAGCTACATCCTCTTGAATCTCACCAAGATTGAGAAGTTGTACTTCTTTTGCCTTATTACCAAACATATTAAGTTGATAAATCTCAGGCTTATCAGCGCTCTCAGTAAGCTTACTTTGCTGAACTTTTTGAACTACTTCTTTCACCAATACATTCGTGGCTTCTCCTTTATGATCCTCTTTAAAATCCTGAACAACTGTAGATTTATTTGTAGTCTCCTTAGTAAACTCCTGAACCACATAGATCATAGGATTGTTGTCTTGTTGAACCACATGATCAGTAAGTTCATCATCGGACTTTTCTAAAGATGCCTCGGCAAAATTCTGAACCTCTGAATCTTCCATTGTAGTCTCCTGAGCCGCAAGGACCAGCGAGCTACTGTCTTGAACTAATTGAACAATAGGTTCATCCTTGAACGTTTCTGCAGACTCAACCAAATTTTGATTCTGAACAGCCTCTCTGCACACATCCTCAGCAATGAGAATGAAATTATGTGTGAGTCCTGAAAAATCAGGTGGTTTTGGAGGTTTTTCTGTCTGAAAATCAATAACATTAAGACCAGGTTTTCCATCTTCAGTAGGGCAACTAAGAATTTTCTTATCTTGTTCTACTTGATTCTGGACAAACTCAATTGTAGCTTCGGTAGAATTCTGACCTGAAACTTTTTCTTCCTCTTTAGTAACATTCAGAGCTGAAACCTCAGGAATCACTTGATCACTTTTTTGCTTAGGTAAGTAATGCTTCATCATATATTCATCAGTTTGGGGCTTCAAAACAACTTTTATGTCGTTGAAGTTAAAGGAGTAGGTGTTGGCTCTACCATCATGCTCTACTTCCCGATCATATAACCAAGGTCTTCCTAAGATTATATGTGAAGCATTCATGGGAATAACATCACACCATATAGAATCAACATACCTACCTCTTTTGATGTCTACCAAGCAACACTTCATCACAGGAATAGTTGTGCCATTAATCCAACCAACCTTATGCGGGTATGGATGTGGCTCTGTTTTTAAATTCAGCCTTTCAACAGTGGATTCAGAAACCAAATTCGCACTACTACCTCCATCTATAATCACTTTCTTGACAGCTTTCCCACAATAAACGAATGTCTGAAAGATTCCTGTCTTTCTCCAATCTTCTCCTATTTTTGGTGCTTTAGAAATTCGCCAAATTAGTGAAAGATAGGACATATCAATATCATCTTCTACCTCCTCCAAACCTTCAGTGTCAACCATGCCCATCTCCTCTTCATCATCATTGTACTCCTGCTCATCTTCCTCAACGATTTCTGAACTACAAGGCAAATTAGGATAACCTATGCTATGGGGATTCATAGCTGTTGATCTCTAACCCTTTTGAAAACAGAATTCATCAGGAAAATCAATTCCAATCTGATCAAAAAAGTATTAAAAACCCCAGGAAATTCGGCTCTGATGCCAAATTGACGCAGGACAAAAACGTGGTGGTTAAGAAATCAGAACTTAGGCTGATTAAAGAGTAGTATGCAGCGGAAACTAAAAGAATCTGTAGGAAAACAAGCGTGGAAATCGCAGGAAAACAGGGATTAAGAGTAGGAAAGGAAGAAGAGAAGAAAACCTAAGAATCACTCTTAGGGCCCTTTGGCGTCACACCGCAGGAATCCTAGGCATCACACCAAGAATTTAGTTGAGTCACACAACTGCTGCAAAGCAAAGCTTATTGCAGGAATTTTTATTAAACGTCTCCCAAAAATCTCCTCATATGAGGTACATATAAATAGGCCTAAAACTTAACCTAAACCAAAGACAACTAGGATTCTCACCTAATTTCCTTTTTATTCCAAGAAATTCCTGCAGCATAGCTAATATACTAAAATACCCTTTCTTAAATATTAATACTGAAATAAATAATTAAATTACTGCTTAATAAAGGATTAACTTAACCAAAGTCCCAACACTTTGGCCCCTTACTTGGATCATGATGATCCTGGGCATAAATATGAAAGAACCTACTGATAGGGTTCTTCTACCGTTCCTTGTCCCCATCAGATGTTCTTGAATGTGTAGAGTCACTCAAATTGACACCCACCAAGACAGTAAAAAGTAAAAACTGTCATTCTGAGGACTAAACATATGCTTGTCACTTTTTATACTGCTTAACCATGACTCTATTTTGGAGACATAACACCCTACATGTGTCCAACTCATAGTGATTCACTGTTGAGTCTTTTGTTACATCTGAATTTTGTTGACATTCAAAGTTGTCTCATTGCTCCTTTTAGTTTCCAAGAATACAGTTGTGGCATCTAATTGACTCCGATAGTGCTCGAGAACTTTCCATTTAGGTTACTGTTTAAGGTATACTCTCACAGTTATACTCTTCTGAGAAACTATGCAGGGATGATTGCTGTATATGCTCTAGCTGCTCGTTGAAATGCTTTATTAATTCACCTCTAAAAGCGACTCCTAGCAACTTGTCTGCTACACTGCATTCATCAACAAACATTCTGCCACTCACATTTTGCTAATAAGATTCATCATATTGTATATGTAAAACATGTTTTAACCTATTTTACTTGACTCTTTGACCGCAGGTCCGCAAATTCAGTAAACACTGTAGAAGTTGTGATAAATGTGTTGATGGATTTGATCATCATTGTCGGGTTGGCTACCTTGTTATCCTTATGTTCTTTGTACTTGAATTAGAGTTGATGTACCTATTCTCATTGCTGAAAAACTCTTTTCATGTTTCAATTTCAGTGGCTAAACAACTGTGTTGGTAGGAAAAATTATGTAACCTTTATATCACTCATGGCTTTCAGTCTCCTTTGGGTAAGTTTGGAGGTGAATAATTAGTTCATTTATGAAGTCTTGTTCTCTAATGATACTTTCAAACTCTCTCTCTCTCTCTCTCAGCTTGTAATTGAGGCTGCAGTTGGCATTGCTGTTTTTGTGCGTTGTTTTGTTAATAAGAAGAATATGGAAGCTGAAATTGTTGATAGACTTGGAAATGGTTTCTCTCTTGCCCCGTTTGCCACTGTTGTGGTAATTTTGCTTCAAATTCAATTTCAGTTTTAGCTGTCACATATATCTCTCTTTTTCTCACTATTATTACTAATATGAATGCTTATCTAATGCAGGCTGTCTGTACAGTTGTTTCAATGCTAGCTTGTTTTCCCTTGGCCGAGCTTTTCTTTTTTCACATGATACTGATAAGAAAGGTTAGTTGTTAGGAAATTTGATCTTGATCTTCGTTGTAGTTGCTTGATCAATGGCATGAAATCAATATCTGTAACTCAAAGCTAGTATTGTAGCGCGTGATTTTAATGTATTTTTTAAATTTACTTACAAAAAGTGTTCACTGTTAGAAAGGCATTACTGGAATTCGTTTTATCATTCTTCTTTCTAATTAATTGACTAGGAATATTCTCCTTTTTTAGAAAAAATTTAAATATGATTTTATCTAGGATAATGTGTACAAGTTTCCTCTCTTCCTTTGGCTTCACTTGATTTTTTTGCTTATGCTTTGTATCAGGGTATTACGACATATGAGTATGTAGTGGCAATGAGGGCTATGAGCGAGGCGCCAGCAGGGGCATCTATGGATGAGGAGCTGCCCAATATTATGTATTCCCCTACTGGCTCTGCTACTACAGGATTTAGCGGTGGGAGCTCTTTAGGGTTGCAATACAAAGGGGCATGGTGCACCCCTCCAAGGGTTTTTGTTGATTATCAGGTAAAGTTTCTTTTTACCTAGAAATTGTTGCAGAATTTGAACACTATACGTTGATGTCCAAGTTCATTCATATATAACTTATTAACACCAAATGATGCACAGCAGGAGTTGTGCAATTAAATTGTTTCGGTGATCTGTGACTTAAAAGGAAAAATAAACCAAAGTTTCTAGATGCATAACAGTGAAATTAGTCTTTAGTTCTTTTTGGAATCTGGGAAATAGATTTTAGGTCTGTCTCATTCATGCTGCTTCGTAGTATGGTACATTGAATTGTATCAAGATTAATTCCCCCATCCCACAGCGCCGAGCCCAAAGACAACATAGAAATAAACAAAATGATAACCAGCAAAACCAATTTTCGTATGGTTTACTGAGTTTGTATCCATGGCTGTAATTGTTATGTTCAATGCCGTGTATCAAATAATTCACTGTACAATGTCCGGAAGAAAGTAAGCACTTGTGCCTTGGTTTGATTGATTGTCTCCCAAGTTCTTTTAAGTATCTTCCTGTTACTGCTGCTTGATTTTACCACATTTGGGAACAAATTCAAGCAATAGAGAAGTTGAATTTGAACCGATCTGCTGGAGAACTGAACTACCCGAAGCCTTATTTTAAATGCCGTCTCTGAAATTACATGATGAAATGTGATTTTTTTGTTTAGCAAATGGACCAATGCTTTATCGTTTTTTGGTTTCTTTTAGTAATTGAAATTCCTACATGCATCTCTTTAAAAAGGAAAGGTGGTTCTAATTAGTACTGGGCTGATGTCTTCTTGGTTTTTTGTTCACTCTGCTTCTGGATACATTTACAGGAAGAAGTTGCTCCACAATTAGAACCTGGAATGGTCCCATCAACTATTGACCCAGATGCAGTTGCATTTGGGGACAAGGGAAACAAGGCACCCAAGAGGTCTGTTCGAATTAGTGCCTGGAAGCTTGCAAAGTTAGACTCCAATGAGGCTGCAAAAGCAGCAGCAAAAGCCAGAGCATCTTCGTCTGTACTGCGACCTCTTGATAACCGTCGTCTAGCAGATGCTGAAATGAGCTCAAGTGGGAATCTTAGTGTCCGAAGCAGTATTAGTGCTGACACTGGAGTAAACAAAGATAACAGAAGTGAACTTAGGCTATCACCTTTGAGAAACTCAGTTGCGCCCAGTCAAGGTAGTCGGGATGAGTATGAAACTGGCACGCAGAGTGTGAGTAGCTTCAGTAGTCCAAGCCATGTTCATGAGTCAGTGACCCTGAGCCCTCTTCCTCAAGCCCATCGAATGGGCCAACTTAACATGGGGAATTCAGTATCCAGCCGTGTTCCGGATCATCCATTGGCTCCTAGAGCTCCTTTACCGCGTATTGCTGACCCAGTGGTACTTCCTTCATCAGGGTTTGATGCAAATATTACTCAAAAGGGAAGTTCTTCGGACCCATTGCTGCTTACAGCCGCTGCACCTACGGCTCCATTTCTTAGAGATGTTAAGAGGACATCTGTTGTGTGGGACCAAGAAGCTGGTAGATACGTATCTGTCCCTGTAACGGCTTCAGAGACTCGAACACGATCATTTCTTCCTGGGGGATCAAGTGGAGGTGCTGGGTTAGGTTACAATGACAAAAGGCCTGTTGCTCAGCCTGCGCCGCCGGTTGTACCATCACAACCTGCAGCGAAGCTTCCAAATCAGCAATCAGATAAGCTATTGTATTCAGGGGAGTCCATATTTTTTGGTGGGCCACTTTTGAGTGGTCCAATGAGGAATGCGCTGAAAAATGATAAAGGCTCGGATAGAAGAGATGGTCAAGACCGACTTCCCTTCAGTATTCCAAAAGACTCTAGGTACAAAAGGGATTCTGCCTCAAACCAGCTACCCGTATTCATTCCTGGAGATTTTGACCCTAATCCTCCATCTGGATCAGGTGTGAAGTAGCTTGTACACTGAGAACTTCTGTTAACATTTTCTTGCATCTTCGTATGCCGATGATGATCTAAGGTCGGCAGATATGGAAATGGAAGTAGGAGAAACCTCAAATGGGAATGAGATGTTTGTTTCCTATGGAACCTCGCAGACCATAGCAGCTATTGCTTCATCTGAGAGCAAGGTTCCAGTGGTTTCTTGTCGTATGCAAGATCTCTTGGAACACGTCAGAGGCATCGATGAATTCCAGATGAGACAAGGGGTGAGGAACTCACCAAACTAAATCAAACCTTGTTTTTGTATTTAAGATTGAGCTGCGTAGATAGTAAATAGAATCGAAGAGATCCGGAAAACCTCATGTCCTCTGGATTCACTCGGTTTTGAGTTCATTTTCCTAAACAGGATATCGATTTTACCACAGATTAGTTCCTTGCAAAACTGCCATACTACCGACAGGTGTAGCACGTGATTCATTAAAGCTAAACGTGGTGCTAATAAACTTGGGTAGGATACTAAACCCACATTTCTTAAGCTCTTCATTTGCAATGTTTCTCAGAGGACTTGGAATTGAGATCAGTGTTCTTATTCTTCAATAACAACCTATGTCGCCCAATGTTACCATGTTTTCTCAGATCATAAGAGGCCCTGCGGATTTTGGTTGATTGATAATTTTTTAAATCTCTTACTTCATACATCATCTGGAAAGCTGAAGTGCTGTTTTGTAAAGGCCTCTCGCTTAGATTAACAAATCATAATAATTCCATCCACGAGTGGGTTCTTCATTTTGGTTTGAATTTTAGAAGCATTCGAATTATGTAGTGAGGTTATAGAAACTAAAAAGCAGATCAAATAACAAATAAATATAATAATAATTAAAAAAAAAAAAAAAACAAGCTAAGTGTGCACGCCCTCCACGCTAAATAGTTGGAGTAACATTTTTTTTTTTTTTCAATTGTAACGTACAGTGTCCATACTTGCACGTTTCCACTTCATGAATGAATAAAAGAGTTCATAATAATCATCGCTTCAATCATTTTCTTTATTAATTATTCATTCATTCGTCCCAAAAACAAAAAAAAAATTCTACTTTGTTAACGTTGAGAAAAATGATTTTTTTGAAAGTTATGATATTGAAACAAGCAACCCATATATAATGTTTTGCGTGCTTCACTTATCACATTTGTACGTACAAGTAACGAAAATCATACGTGGATCAACCATGAAATCCGAAGAACCAAATTTAAGGGCAATAATTGTTGCCATATATTTATTCATTTGAATTAAGTTTGACAAAATTCAAGTGCCAACTTTGTAGAGTGGTCACACAATACTGTACTGTTTTTTTTTTCTTTATCTTCTTAATTTATCTATCACTTAAAATTCGCAATATGCCAAGAGCCATGCACATATAGGCCATAGCACGAGTATATATAGTGATATAGCGATAATCCTTCTCTCTTGTCCATTCCTTTTGAGGAAAAAATAAATTACATGGCACATACGCAATAAGTCATAAGGTCATACACATACAAATAATGAAAAATCATAGATTACTGATCTCATGACCGTATCTTTTAGCTTCCCATTGTGATTGAAACTGAACATTTGGTAATGACATTTTTCGATTACCGTGATAACCTATTTACCCAAATTGTAAATCCGCTTGATTTTTCCCCAATTATTCTTGTTTTTTTTAGTATTTTAAAATGCTACTTATACGATCCCAATACACAACCATTTAAATCGATCCCAATACACAACCATTTAAATTACAATGGTTAGTTTAATTAATTAAAAGTAAAAAGAAAATTTAATATGTTAGTGATTAAGCATTTCTTAATTCTTGTGTCGTTGGTATTATATTTCATTTTGAAAAGGAGGTAATATAAATATACAATATATATATATATATATATATATATATATATATATAAACACATTTCATAGAATACAAAGTCCTAAATTCGATGCCCCGTCTCCTCCCGTTGTGGGAAGAAATACAAATTTATTGGTTCTAGAAAATGGAAATGTGTGTAGAAACCTCACAATTGAGTCAATTCTGAAAATGAAACCGAAAAAAAATTATGAAAACCGACCAAGTCGTCGCCAAGAGAACGCCTGCTTGAGTTTTGCCGGCTGCTATGAATAATTCTACTTCACACATACTCGTCAGCCGTTGAAATTCCAACGTACTGTATTGTTTTTATTATTTACATAATTCAAACAACAAAATGTAGTATTAAATTAAACTTCACTTCATTTCTGGTTAGTGTTTCAAAATCATTTGCTACGTCGATGTCACACGAAACCGCATATCTTTCACGAATTAATTGTCTTTTTTTTTTGGTTATTATGATAATTATTTTCGAACAGAAAAATATTTATTGAGTAGGGTTGGGAGGTTTACGTAATAAGCAGCCAAATTAAAAAAGCAATGTTTTTTGTCAATAGAAAACAATGGAAGAGAATAAAAACTACCCCCAAAAGTGAAAGAGGAAATGTCTTTATCGTCTTGGACAGCTGAGCTGAGCTTTTTGATTAGTCAGCTTTGCAAATGAAAACTAGGATTGGGCGGTTTGGTCGGTCGTCGAGGGGGTCCGCCACCCCACCACCACCACCACCTTCCGCCTCTCCAGCTGAGCAAAGGGATTGTGTAAACCTACTACTACAATACAAAACCGAATTTTTCCTTTTTGTGTATTCATTTTTGACCTAATCAGCCTAATTGACCGACTCCTTTATTTTGTGATTCCCAGTTTTTTGTTTTAATTATTGTGATTAAGAAAGACCAAATTCAAAGTCAAAGCACAAAGTTGAATTGGTTTGTAACCATTTAATTAGAAATGAAAGTATTTTCCGGAAAAATTACATGACATCGCTCGTTGTAAGTACGACGGATAATAATTTGATGAAATTTGATAAGTCGCGGAGCAAAGAGTTTCGTATATGCATTTATATTTATGCACACTAAAGCTATTTTATATATACGGTAGTGAAAAACCTTTCTTGATGATCCAAAAAAAGGAGCATGAGATAAGATGAGATGATGAAATTTTGATGTGATATGAGCAGGCAAAAGGGAAAAAGTATAGACTGAATTTAGAAGGGTTTTGGGTGAATTTCATTGTCAAATCATTAAAAAAAAAAAAAATGAAAAGAAGAATACGTTTGAATCTGAAACACCTTTGCACCAATTGGCTGTTGCTTGTTTCTTTCCTCCATCCTGAAATTGGCCCATTGTATCGTTTGTGTTATTATCATGCGTAATCCTCGCCTTCCACGGTGGATTTGAGGTGTTAAATAAAAGAGTTACCCAAATTCGACAAGAGGAATTTAAAAAATATGCATAGTATATAGATTCATTTAATCCTCTAAACATACATACAAAACAAAAAAGAAGAAATTTTTACTTTCTTTAATCGAAGAAAAAGAATAATTGGTGAATATTTTATACCATCTTAATTCAATATACATTAATTATGTTCTTTTTTTTATTTCGAGACAAGGGGTGTACTTAGTTAGTCAAACTACCATATTAAAAAGAAGAAAACCTTAAACCTAAACCCCTAAAACTTTCTCCACCTTCAAAACAGTGAAGCATATTAATATGACCAATAAACTAATACTACCACATTCTAATCCATAGAAGAGCTCTCTCGTAATAGGATTGCAAAATAAATCCAAAATTTTGACATTACAGTGGAATAATCAAAGAAAGTCTTGCTTAATTCTTATTTATTAATTATTATTATTATTTTGTAGTGGCTGGATGATTGATTTCATACGATATGTACATATTTCTTTCCGTTTTAAAATAATTATCGACTATTATATACTCCCTCTGTCCCATAATTATTGTCCAGTTTTACTAAAATGAAAGATTTTATTTTTGGTCAAACTTAACTATATTTTACCTTAAACAACCGGATATACCCCTACATAAGTAATTGTTTAATCACTAAGATTTTATGGATAATGTTTTTTACTAAGGACAAATGTGTAACTTGATCTATAAAAAGTCAAATTGAACAATAATTTTGGGACAAAAGTTTTTAGGCAAAGTGGACAATAATTATGGGATGGAGGGAGTATATAATATCCAACCTTTAGTAATAAGATAATTATTTCGGGCCAAAAAATGGTAAAAACTATGAGAAAACAGGATGGGGGCAGTCTCTCTGACCTACTACTACTATTTCTTTCTCCGGGGCGAGAAAGAGAAAAAGCTGGGAGTGCCACTGTGGCGGTACCCAGTATATATATAATATAAGTATTCAACTTTAAAGAAATTTCAGGGATCTAAAAACATTCAATAAAATTCAACTACGCTCTAATTTTTATTTCAAATACACATTCTCTCTCTCTCTCTCTCTAGCCTCCTGGCTTTCTTCCCCACTTCCAGTTTCATAATTGTCATTTTAGGCTCTTTTTTTTTTCCGCTTTCCCAATCCAAATTACAGAGAAGAGATTCAGAAGAAGAAAGCAACAAATTTCAAAATCAGGCAGACAAAGAGACCGCAAATATTCCTCTAAAAAAGCTCAAACTTGTTGTTCTTCATCGAGGCAGGGGCAGGTTGGTAGATACTTGAAATTCTCAAAATATTTTGTCTCTATCTCTGTGTTTTATTGATTTTTTAATTTTATTTTTTCTCTCTCGTTGGGTTTTCATCGAGTTCATTAATCTTCTGCAACTACTGCTAGTTTATACTACTACTGCTGCTGCTGTTGATTTTGGCTAATTCATTTGGTGATCCTTCATAGATGATGTTTTGATTGCCAAGGGTCATATTTTGGCTTTCATGTTCTTCTTCTTATTCTATACTTGTTGTATTGTCCGATTTGAATCTCGAACTAATTGTATCAACGACGGTTAATGATTACTGGTACCAAATCATCGATGATGATCAATTGATCCTAAGAAAACTGTGAATCTGTATCTTTCAGGTTGTCAAAAGTATGCGATGATTCTTCAAAATCTACTGTTTCTCCTCCTTTTTACTGAGTATTTATATTTTTTTACTCTGTGTTTTTATAGTGCAACTGCTTTTTAGTGTTCAACAGCCTGGCCTAAAATCATCATTAGTTGGTCATCATCCACTTCTGTATGTGCTCTGTTTCTTCACTCACTCCGTGTACTGTGTGTGTTTGTGTGTGTGTGGGTGGTGAAATTAGTGCAACAATCTCAAGCTTTGAAATGAATGAATGAATTATAAGGTCATAAATTCTATAGATTCTGTCGTTTCAGTTTTCCTTTTTCATATTTTTGGTTTTAAAAAGTTTAAAACGGGTGTACATCTAAATAAATATTCAAAGATCAAAGTAACCCATAATCATTCACACCGGACCTTCACTTTTTTTCTTTTTTTTTTTTTCCTTTTCTATTTTTGGGCTTTATATTATGCGCTCGCTTTCTTCTCTTCTTCTTCCTTTTTTTTTTAATGGAGAAATTTTAGTAGTAATGAAATAAATAATTAATTAGCAAGGTCCCATATGACAATTCACAATTCTCTGGTTGGTGGTACTGAGAACGAATCTGATGATGAATGATGAGACGAAGTACTAACAAAGTGGAACGCACTCTGAGACTCTGTCATTCATTTTAGTACTAATAAATTTCTTTTTAAGATTTGTTAAAGGCAAAATGTCATACGGGTTTTCCTTTTTGGGCGTTTTTACAGCCATTGATTTGATACTAAAATCACCCAAGATTGGCGCCAGTTATAGAAACTATTACTGCCACCTTTTAAAAATAAGTGTCATTCTAGAGTTTACACACAGTTTAAGAAGACACTTAAATGGGATAACTAAATTATTAAACTATCATCGATCAATCTCATTAAAATAATATTCATCAATAATATTATTTTTTTAGGATATATTTATAAATTTTTGACAAAAAAAAAATACATTGAAATCCTAAATTGACACCGATAAAAGTGACTTCACCTTATTTTAATTTCAGATCCCATCAATCACTCTTTTGCTACAAATATTTCAACCTTTCCATCTTGTTAATATTCTATTCATTCATTTTTTTATCTATTAAATTAAAAATTATGATTTTTTTTTTAATGTTGTTACCTAACGATTTAAGTTTTGGAATATTTCACTTTCTTCGTTTATCATTGTTTTTTTTTAAAGACACGTAAGCAAGGGTTAAAAAGATGCTTTGTGTGCTTATTTGAACGATGATGATAATTAGTACTAGTAGTAGTATTGATTTAAGAGAATTAAATTATTGAGTTGGATCTCCCCCCACCGTCAAGATGCGTGCAGAGTGCAGACCATGATTTTTGTCTTTGGCCCCCCAATAATTTTTTTTTGATGAGATGGATTTCACGAATATCGAGACAGGATCAAGACTGTTGGGCCTTTGATTTCACCCTGTTAGATTTTGCAGACTAGAGACAAAATGCCAACCAGAGGCCCCTCTTTCTCTTTGTTTTCTTCTTTTTTTTTCGTACAAAAATCACTCTTTTAAATCACTGAAAAGCACAAACATAATTCTTTATATTTTTAAAAAATTCTAAAAAATCTCCTTTACACTCTTTATTCTTCAATATATTTTTATTAATGTTACTTAATATGTCTTAATATAATCACAAGGTGTTAGACCCGTCCGATGGACGGGGAAGATATACACATTTAGACATTTTTACGTAAATTTTGTATTTTTATAAAATATGTAATGACTTCAGTTTTAAACATGATTACCTCTGGATTTACAGGAATTTATTTTTTTTAAATGACATTTTAAATGTGATAAGGTTTATGCAAATCTCTCTAAAATTTATTAGGATTTGGTACTCTCTCCAATCAATCTCTATGTTAGAATTTGGTTCATGAAAATAAGGGTTCTGTTTTTATTATTTTGTTTTTTTTTAATTTTATTTTAGTTGCTTTTTTTTTGGTTTTATTATTTTGTTTTGTGCATTTTTAATTCTAAGAAATTAAGAAAATGCCACATAGTATTTAATCCTATGCGGCATGTGCTCCATGCCTTTAGTTTTCTCTCTCTCTCTCTCGTTTTTGCCTTAGTATAGTATATAGATAGATTTGGGACTGAGGATTCAATAAATAACTTATTTTACCGCATTCAAATTCAGAAAATAACCACTGGCTACTAGCAGACTGGTCAATCCTTAATAAGGCTCTTTGCCTCTTTTTCAGTGCTGTTCATTAATGCTAATAAGTTGAGTCCATCTGTTTAGTAATTATTTATTTCAAATTATCATCATTATTAATTTATACTAATAAGCACCTTGTTAATGTTGGGAAAAATAATTTACTTTAGCATTGTCTTCTAATCTCAACTTGTCAATCCTTCTCTGAATTCTGTAATACTAGTATTAAAGGTTTACAAATTTCTTACAACCTTCCTTTTCATTCTGATCTTCATTTTACCTTATTTATCTTTATTTTGTTTGATCAGCACTGCACTACTAAAAATAAAAAATAAAAAAATTTCTATTCTTTGAAAGAAAATGTCTGCCACCACTGGATTACATTTGCCCTCTTTACAGCTATTCCCACATGATTCTGATCATGTATTTGTCATTTCACTTTTTTTTTTTTTTTGGTCGAAAAAAGAAATTATTCAGTAGTTATTGCTACGCATAACATGTACATGGGCTTAGCTTGTAAGGATAATCTAGCTGCCTGCTTAATTAGCTTAGCTTTTGGGTGAAACAAATATAAAGAACGATATCTTTAGCATATTGGAAAAAACAAATGGATAAACATAAATAAAAGATGCTGTGAGCGTGGGTACCTTTCAGGGTACAGAACAATAATAACATTGCATGACAACGAAACTCCATTTTGCATTTTACATCTCTTTTTCGCTTCTTTTCTTTTTGTTACAACTTTTTACATCTCTGAAGCTATCTTTTTTTTTTTTTTTTCTTTTGACATTTCTGATGAAAACCATTTAGTTCAAAGAGAAAAAGAAATGCAAAACTATGTCTACATGGATTAATGGCAACTTGATCCTATTACTAAGGATTATTTATTTTCCAGAGTGTTGTTTCTTCAAGAAACTAACTAGGGATTATCTATGAAATGGTGAAAACAGCATTTCAGAGTATAGCCAATATTAGCTGAGTTGATATGGACGCAGAAAGTGTAACCAATTCAGAGGTATCCCAGGAGGTTAAGGTTGTTGAAGCAAACGGAGGAGTTGACTTGCCTGATCCATCTTCCATTAAGGTATACCTACTTCCATTGGTCTACCCTGTCTAAATTTCAGTATCATATGTGTAGCTTGGATAAACTGGAATCCAATTTTTAAATTTTAAATGTGAGTTCAATTAATCATCAATAATTGAGAAGGTTGGTGCACCATGGAAATAATCCAGGGATATCTCTATGTGGCAAATATTCATTGCTGTATAATATCTACACGTTAGTCAACTGTACAATGGTTTCTCCAGCTTATTTGTACTGATGGTGTGTCTACTAATCTAAATAGATTTTATTTTGGCTTTCAATGAAGCAAATGAAGGAATAAACAAATGTCATTTTTTTTTTGGCTGAAAAAACATGTTGACGTGTTTTTTATGCAGGAGCAAGTCATGGAGAAAGGAGGAAAGAAAGAAGAAGAAGACACTGCTTTTGACGGGGAATTTATTAAGGTAGAGAAGGAAGCATTTGATCCAAAGGATTCGCATGTTCAAGAACCAGAAACCATTCCTGTTGTTGAGGAACCAGCTGCTGCAGATCAAAGCTCAGGTGTTTCATCCACCAGCCGGGAAGTATTGGAAGCACAGGAAAAGGCTAGTGAACTTCAGCATGAACTGGAGAGAGTTGCGGGAGCGCTCAAGGATTCTGAATCTCAGAATGTACAGTTGAAACATGACCTTTCAACACTGAAGGAATTATTGGAAAAAACTGAGAAGAAGTATGAAGAGCTTGACCTCAGTCACCAGCAATTGCAGCAGAAAAATGTGGAATCAGAAGAGAGATATAGTGCTCAGCTCAAAGCTCTGGAGGAGGCTTTACAATCTCAAGAAACTAAAGACAAGGAGTTGATCCAAGTTAAGGAAGCCTTGGATTCTCTTAATCTTGAGTTTGATGACTCGAAAAAGAAACTAGAAGCACTTGAACAAGAGCTACAAGCTTCTGCAAATGAAGCTCGGAAGTTTGAGGAGTTGCATAAAGAAAGTGGTTCACAGGCTGAATCAGAAAACAAAAGGGCATTGGAATTGGGGCAGTCACTTGAGGTTGCCAAATTAAGTGCAAAAGAAATGGAAGAACAGCTGACATCTTTGAAGGAGGAGCTTAGTGCCCTAAATGAAAAGATTGCTGACAATGAGAAGGTTGAAGCTGCACTAAAGGCCACAACAGCAGAGCTTTCAACAGTTCAAGGGGAGTTGGAGCTTTCAAGATCCCAAGTGGAAGATGTTGAGAAGAGGCTTGCTTCAAAAGAAGCTGTTCTGCAAGAATTGAGCCAAGAATTGGAAGCCGTAAAGGCTTCTGAATCTCAGCTGAAGGAAGATTTATCGGCCTTACAAAATCTGTTTTCTTCAACCAAAGAAGAATTTCAGTCAAAAGTTTCAGATTTGGAAGATGCCAAATTGAAGCTGCAGGTGGAAGTCGGTGCAAAGGAGCTTGTTGAAGCTAATTCAAAAATCCAGGAAGAAAAAGTCTCGCAATTGCAGGAGGAACTGGCGAATATTTTGAAGGACAAAGAAGCACTAGAAGCTACTGTTGCGGATTTAACCAGTAGTGCAGCTCAGATGAAGGAGTTGTGCAGTGACTTGGAGGCTAAGTTGCAGAAGTCAGATGAGAACTTTGCCAAAACAGATTCTCTGTTGACTGAAGCATTGGCAAACAGTAAAGAGCTGGAAAAGAAGTTGAAGACATTGGAAGATCTTCATCAAGAATCTGGAAATGCTGCAGAAACTGCAAACCAGAAGAATCTTGAGCTGGAGGAAATTCTGCGAGCCTCAAATACTGCAGCAGATGAAGCAAAATCACAGTTGACAGAACTTGAGACACGTTGTGTTTTAGCAGAACAGAGGACTACAGAGCTTGAACAGCTTTTGAATCTGGTGGAACTAAGGAGCAATGATGCTGAGAGAGAGCTGAGGGAGTCTTCTCTGAAAATATCTGAACTGAATACAGCTATAGAAAAGGCCGCAGAAGAAAAGGAATTGCTAAATGCTCAAATAGAAGAGTATCAGCAGAAAGTAGCTGAACTGGAGTCTCATGTGGGTCAATCAACAGAGCGACATGCGGAGCTTGAGTTGGAGTTGAAGAATGTCACAGGGAAATGTGCGGAACACGAGGGGCAAGTTACTACAATGCAGCAGCGCAGCCTTGAACTTGAGGATTTGATTCAGGCATCACATTCCAAAGCGGAAGAAGCAAGCAAAAGAGCAAGTGAGCTGGAGTTATTGCTGGAGACAGAGAAGTACAGGATTCAGGAGCTCGAAGAACAAATAGCAAATTCAGATAAGAAGTCCCAGGATTCGGAGGCTGAGTCGAAGTACCATTTGCAAAAAGTTTCTGAACTTGAGTCGGAAATAGAAGCATATAAATCCAAAGCATCAAGCTTGGAAATTGCTCTTCAAGAAGCCACAGAAAAGGAAAAGGAACTGAACGAATGCTTAGCTGTAATGACAGAAGAGAAAAAAGTTCTAGAAGATGCATCTAGAAGTTTAACTGAAAAAATAGCTGAATCGGAAGGTCTTATTCAAGTCTTGCAGAATGAGACAAAAGATGCTCGAGAGAAATTGGAGAGCCTTGAAAATGATCTCAAGGCTGCTGGCATAAAGGAAACTGAATTTATGGAGAAGCTCAAGGCTGCCGAGGATCAGCTTGGCCATCACGGAAAGTTGTTGGAGCAAGCTACAGCTAGAAGTTTGGAGCTAGAATCCTTACATGAGACTCTAACAAAGGATTCAGAAACAAAACTCCAAGAGGCTATGGCAAATTTCTCCAGCAAAGACTTGGAGGCTAAATCATTATATGATAAACTAGGTATGCTGGAAGATCAAGTAAAGAATTATGAAGAGCAATTGGCTGAGTCCACTGGAAAATCGAGCTCTCTGAAGGAAGAATTGGAGCAGACTTTGCTGAAGCTAACTTCATTAGAAACTGTCAATGAGGATCTTTCAAGAAAGATTTCTGAAATTGAAAACAAGTCTTCTCAGTACTTTTCAGAGAATGAGATGTTAGCTGAGACTAATGCTCAGCTGAAGACCAAAGTCAATGAACTCGAAGAACTGCTACAGTCATCATCAGCGGAAAAGGAAGCTGCCGCCCTGCAACTTGCTTCACACATGAACACTATCACGGAATTGACAGAGAAGCATTCCAGAGCTTCTGAGCTCCATTTAGCTGCTGAATCTCGAGTTTCAGAAGCTGAAAAGCAGTTACAAGAAGCTATTGAGAGATTAAGCCATCATGATTCTGAAGCTAAAGACTTGACTGCAAAGTTGAGTGATCAAGAAACTCAGCTGAAGGCATACGAAGAACAGGCCCACGAATCATCTACAGTTTCCGAAAGCCGAAAAATTGAACTGGAGCAGACTCAAGCAAAACTAAGCAACCTAGAACACATCATAGAGGAACTGGAAGCCAAGTTGAGTCAGACTCAACAGGAGAGTGAAAAGTTGGCCGAAACAAATGTAAAACTTGCAGAGGAACTTGCATCTTACGAATCAAAAACAACTGATTCACAAAAAGAACTTGCAGCTGCACTAGCTGAGAAAGATGAAGCAGTTGAAAAACTTGGTGATGCAAACAAAACCATTGAGGACCTTACAAAGCAGCTACATTCTGAAGGGGAGAGGCTACAATCTCAGGTTGCCTCCCTTTCACCAACCAAATGCAAAACATTGTACCACATATATTGGATTCTTTGTTTCTTCCTTACACAAATGTGCTTTTGTTGATTTTCCTTGAACAGATATCTTCTGTAGTAGAAGAAAAGAGTTTGCTCGCAGAAGCGCACGAGAGTTCCAAGAAGGAGCTTCATGCTGTGGTAACACGTCTTGAGGAACAACTAAAGGAACAGGGGTCTAGTGAGAGTAATTTGAAAGCAGAGATGGAAGCTCTCAAGGCTGAGATTCGTCGAAAGTCTTTATTGGAGAAGCAACACCTAGAAGAGCTGGAAGCAAAATTAACAGGCTATGAGCAGGTAACATGATCCTCCGTGTACCCATTTGTTTGAAAATTCCCGCATCTTTTGCCAAGATACCCGGATTGTTCGGGAATGTTTTCCCATTATCTCCTCGTTCTTGATCCTTGTAATAGTTTATAATGACACAATTATCAGCTCTTTACAACCTTCCTTTTTCCTTAAAAATATGTAAATGTGTTGCATGAATATATATTGGGATCCTGATTCGTTGTTTTCCCCGACCAAGCAGAAGGAATCTTCCTCTCAGAAGCAGTTGGAAGAGCTAGAAGCTAAGAACAAACAGGTCCTGGTTCTGGAAAAGCAATTGAAAGAACTAGAGCAGAAATTGCAGCTGGCTGATGCCAAATCCAAAGAGGTCAGAATCCCAATGTTTTTCTTTTTAATATCAATTCTCCTAAATATCTTATCTTTCCAACATAGCACAAACTCAGTGTAACTCATAGAATATGAAATATAATTGGTGCAGGATGTTGGAGGGATTAATGTCGAATCCAGGGATTTTGAACCAAGCATCTCGACTCCATCAAAACGGAAGAGTAAGAGGAGGTCCGAAGCCACCTCTTCTACTCAAGCATTGTCTTCAGAAACACAAGCGACGGAAGCATCATCTCCTCTCTCCACATTGAAATTCATCTTGGGAGTGGCCTTGGTTTCAGTGATAGCTGGCATTATTCTAGGTAAAAGGTATTGAACCGGGTTTTCAGGTTACTGATGGTTGTTTTTCTTTGGTCTTTTTTCCTTTTTTCTTGGTTGCTTATTGGACGTCACTGTAAGAAAGAAATGCAGAAAAAGCTTGTTAGCATTCTGTCTAGATTTATTACATACATAGTTTGGATTGGAGGGGTTTTCTCTTTTTCGGGTGAAGGGGAATTGGTTTTTTTGATTTACATCCCCCCCCTGCATTGCCTGTATCATATGTTACCAGTATTCTTTTACAACAGGAAAAAGACAAATCTGATTGATCGAGTGTAATGCGGTTTTTGCGTTTGCAACTGTTTCATTAGCTTGGCAGATTTTACATAGTGTGCCCCGTCCCAAAATGATTGTCGTGGAGAGTGCACCAAACATTTTCATGGTCCAACCATCATAATTGGAAAACAACAAATTAGTTCTGGTTCTCTTCCCATGTTTTTGAGTGTGTTGAATAGATTCTTCTCCCGCATCTATTGGCTGTACAAAGAGGGACTTGGATGTTGACATATCATTCCATCATCCAGTCACTCTAGTCCTCTTTACCATTATTATGATTTGTGTTATTCTTCTTCACTGACAAAAATCCCAGAAAAAAAGAAGCGCATTACTATATCTAGTTTATTGATTGGAACAGTCCAAGAAGATGAAGCCAAAAATGGTGTTCATCCCATTGTTATAGGTATCTGTGGTGGACGAATGCTGCAATGGGTGGGTGTTCTTACATGGTTTAATTGCCTTGTGAAAGAACTCAAATAGGGTCTGCAATGGCCAGTTCCACCAGGTGCATTTTGTCTTATAGGGTTTCTTAAAATTGCGCATATATCTAGCTATCTCATGCAGCTGACATTCCTGCTATTTGATTGAATCGCTCGATTTAACTGAGTATTTACATTTATCATACGATGATTTCAGTTGTTAGAAAGTAAGAATGACTATTGCCATGCGATGGATTCTTTCTCGTACCTACATTGTTGGTCAAAGAATCACATTTCTTTTCTCGCACGTATATTCTATTGCTCAAAGAATACCGGCGTCCGGTAGAGAGGTTACAAAAGCCCGGTTTGCTGCCAATTACTCGAAGTCGGAAAGGCTTATCGACTGACTCACCGTTATGGGAGATTATGAGGAAATTTGGCAGCTGAATATTTTCTACCTATTCTTATAGTTCACAAAAAAAATTACGAGGAAATTCTACAATTTGGAACGACTTTTTATTCTCTTTTCTACTCTGATTCACAAAGACGTTGTCCGCAGTAATCGATTTACCAAAAAAAAAAAAAAGTACATTCGACAACAAAACCTAAAACCCAAAAAATCCTCTCATAAAGAACAGAAGAAACTTCTGTTTCTCCATGATCTATGAAAGCGTTGTCCCTAAATGCCATTATATCATTTTCTGTTACGTCTCCAATTATGTTACGCAACAATACACTAAATACTATCGTCTTCGCATTTGTTTTAGTGTATTCTGATAATTGAACTTCCGAACTCGTGTTTACAATCCCGTCATTCTCATCCTGTTCATCATTAGAAAATTGTCTTCTAATATTATATCGGTCCCAGGGGAAATTCTGAATCACTCGATCAAAGATCATAGATCAAAATCAATCAATTATTCTTATTGATCATCCACCACACACACACAGACGATCAGACTCAATCGGACGGCTGCCAAGCGGAGGCGGTCAACAAAGACAGATCCTTCCATCCCAACTTCAAGCACCCGTTCTCCTCCACCAGTGTGTACCCTTTCCAGGGGAACATCCCGAGCAACAAGCTAGCCTGAGCAGCCGGGTTACCCGCCAGAGACACCGGCCGGAACCCGACCCGACTCAGCTGCTCCCCCCACCTCTCCACCTCCTGCTCCCCGGTCCGTTTCGGCCCGCCCACCGCCACGATGTTTCGGATTTCGCAACCCAACAGCTGCTGCTCCACCGTGTGCCTCTCTACGCTCTCCCCACCGGATCCGTCCCCGTCCCCCAGCGCATCAAACAGGGCCGAGTAATAATGCAGGGCCTCCACGAACCGGCCCAAGAAATTCCCCCCGTGGCTCAGGTCCTGTTCCACGATGGTGATCAGTTTAGGCCTCAGCAGGCCCAATAGGCTCAGCGTCCCGTAATCGCTTCCGGTGATGTCGTATAAACAATGGTGCATCCAGTGGACGACCACGGCTTCTCCGCCGCCGCCGCCGATCACCACCCCGAGTTGACTCAGGTCTTTTACGTTTCCCATTTTGCCCTCAACCGGGTTGAATTCGAAGGGGAGACCCAGGGAGGCGGCGAACTCGGAGAGACGCCGGCCGGTGGAGTCGAGGAGGTCCATGGAGGAGCCGAGCCCGGTGATCTTGAGGGATTTGATCTTTCTGGGGCGGGAGGCGAGGATGTGAAAGAGGCCGGGCCACTGAAGGCCCTGCATGATGTCGAGGTCGATGATGTGGACGTGATCCTCGCCGTGGAGGGCTTGGAAGATGGCCTGATTGGCGGTGAAATGGGAGAATTTGATGAGCGGGCAGATTGAATTGTATGACTGGAGGGCGTTGAAGAGCTTCTGGCTCTGGGATTTCATGGTCAGCGGCGCGTAGGTCCCCAAGTACGAGCTCACGATTCGGGCGGAGAGCGCGTCGGAGAAGTACGCCGCCACCCTCTCCGCGGAGGAGCCGTACGGAGAGGAGAGCTCCGCGATTTCCGGTAGCAGGTTGCTGGCGTCATCGAGGTTGTCCATGGCAACGCACTCCGCGCATTGGAGGAGTAGCCCCAGCAGCCGGAGCCCAGTTGACTCTGTATCTCCTCCTCCTCCGACGCCGCCGCCGGCTGCCGCCGCCGCCGCAGAAGAGCCGTGGGGGTCCTCGGCGATGTTGACACCTCCTTCGTCTTCCTCATCGTCGTGTGGGGATAGAGTAGAAGAGCGGCGGCGGGGGCGTTTGAGGAGAGGAGGAGCAGAGGAAGAAGAAGGGCGGTCGTCATCGTCGTCGTCGTCGTCGAGGTGGTGGATGTGGTGGTGGTGACCGGCGGTGGAGGCGGGACGTTTGGACTGCATAGGATTAGAAGTAGTGGTGGTATTATTATCAGGAATAGTGGAGTGGTGGGAGAAAAACAAACTCTGGAGCATGATATAGTACTATATCTAAGGCTAACAGAGACGGAGGAGGAGGAGGAGGAGGATTATTTATGATATGTCGATTAACAACAATGTTTTTTACAGTCGTTAAAGTTGAAATTTGAGGGAGCAGAAGTAAAACCCCAAAACAAAATGGAGGAAGAACAGTTTCAACTGGGGTGTGAATTATGGAGGAAAGGGGAGAAACCGGGAGATGTGAAGATTGGAGAAGAGAATAAAAAAGGAAGCAGAAGTTCCTATCATTTAAGAGCAAACTGATCAAGTGCTATTCGACAAAAGATAAAACCCCCCCTTCCGGGAATTATATTATTATTATTATTATTATTATTATTATTATTTGATCGACTGTCTTTTTTCCTAATCCTTTCGTTTGTGGACTAATTTTTTTTTGGAACAAGGTCCGAATTAAAACAATTACTCCCTCTGTCTCATAATTATTGTCCAGTTTAAGTTTTTATTTTTAGTTCAAATTGTACTAAAAGTGAAATCTCAAACTGGACAATAATTTTAAGACAGAGAGAGTATTAAGTCTTTTTTCTTTTTCCAAATGATAAGTTAGTTTAATTTTTCTCATATGTACAATTATTTGGAAACGGATAAAAAATTTTTTGACTTTTGAAAAGTACTCTCTTTAATGAAGACTAAAATTAATTTTGTGTTTACGATAGGTAGTTTATCACCAGGATTCAAGAACCATTTTACTAGTCGTTGTTCCAGAATTCAAGAGATGTTTTTTTTTTTTTTTTTATTTGGAGTTTGGGAGAATTTGGAGAGGTGGAAAATTGTCCATATTATTGGTTTTAAATTATGACAAGGGTAAATTGCCCGAACGGGACAATAACTACGATTCAGGGGTGTCATAAATAGCAGCCCACTTATCAAAATGTCTTACGCGTCTATACATGTTGGAGAACAAAATAGAAGCGTGAAGGTGTGTATAAGAAAAAAAAATAATAAAGAATTCTTAAAATTGATGAATAAATTTGTTATGAAAAAAAAAAAAATCCAGATGAGGAAGAAAGATAAGGGGGGAAAATGTAAGGTCGGGGTTGGAAGGTTGTTTTGGGAGGAATCGACCGATTGAAAGATGAGTTTGTCTCTTTGCTTGTTTTACTTCACCATCCACCCTACGGCCTAAGCACAAGCAAAAAAACCCACCTATCCACTTTATTAATTTTTAATTATAATCCTTTTCCAGCTCTAATAAATTTGGTTTGATTTTCTCTTTTAGTAATCTTGACTCCTCTTAAAATTTTATAAAGATTTCATAAATTATTACTTATTATAATGATTTACTTTTTTAAAAAAGAAACCGTATTTCGTAGATATGTCTTGAAACTCAAACTTAAGAAAAAATAAAAATAAAAATAAAAAATAAACATGATATTCTCTATATACAATACTTGTGTACGAGAGATCCAAAAGTAGTTTGCATGGGTGGTTTAGTTCAAAGAGGTTTGAAAGTGAATAGAACAAGAAATGGCGTCAGCTTTGGATTGTTATGTTAAGTAATTTAGTCTCGATTTTAGAGTTTTTACCAATGTCTTTTTCCCTAAGATTTTGAGATAACCCTTCTCTCTTTCGTTCTTTGTGTTTGGTTTTTTGGGTACTAATTGTGATGCCTCCTGCATCCGCCATTCATCCCTTATTTTTTTCATGTCCTCACTCGATTTCATCACATTATCAATGTTTAGAAGGTAAGGACGATCCGAATCTTTTAAAAAAATTATGTTTTCTTATTATGCTTTCTAATGATAATATTAAAGTTGTTTATGATCATCAGCCAGAGTTTAATCCTAGGCGAAAACAAAAGGAAAGGAGAAAAGAACAGCCCTAACTTGCCTTATAAAGAAATTAACAAATTAAAACAATGAAGTGGTTGGTTGAACAATAAAATTGCCTGGAACATGTTTCTGCATGCAACATGGTGCCCTCCAAAGTGAAAAATGAATGTCAACAACAATTAGTATTGTTTAACGAAGGACCAATAATAATTAATTACTACAACTTCATTTGATTTCTATCATTTACATTATTTCATTAGTGTAAGAATTTCTATTTTAAAGTGTGATGTTTCTTAAAATTATACTCTCTCTCGTCTTTATTATAAATCATTTTAATTTGTCATAAGTTTCATTTATTCTATTTTTTCAATTAAAACTAAAATATTAAGTATTTTTAAGGTTTTATTTTTATTTAAAAAATATGAAAAAAATAAAGAATAAAAAAAATTAAGACGCGTTATAAAAAGGACCGAAAAGAGCATGGAATGCAACACAAAAATTGTCCACAAAAAAAAAAAAACTATTACGTGAATTACATTCCTAGCTACTTGTATTTTCTTTTCTTTTTCTTTACAATTTTTTTTTTTGAAACAACATTTTATTTATAGTAATGAAAGGTGTTACATAACTTGATCTAATTGCAGGCACGATTTAGCTAGTTTATGTGGACTTTCAACTATATCTCTACTGACCTTTAAAATGCTACAACTGCTAATACTATTCATAACAGCATTTAGAAGGTGCCTGGTTCAACCATGGTGTGATACCAGGGAATGAGTTTCATAAAATATAGATGGGATTGATAGAATAAAAATTTTTCAAAGGGTTTCAAAGTAATTTTTGACTGCTTGGTTCGAATGGTTAATAAGGCTGGAATGGAGTCAAAATTCCACTGCTATCCCTCCCTCCCTCCCTCAAATCAAAACTCTCTTGATGCTCCCATCGGCCAATCTCCTCCTCTTTGCTATTCTGTTTTCCTCAAGGAATTTTTTTTCCTTTTTTAATTTTCCTGAGATGGCTTCAGAGACGAAACCACTGTCATTTCCATGACAGTTGCATATTTTGTTTCCAAGATTTTTCATAATATATAGTTCAAATATAGGTTGGGAAAATTGTCCGATCTACCCTAAATTTTTTTACCCTCGTTGTCAATTTTACCTTAATCTTTTTAAATTAGTTTATTTTACCCGTAGTTATCACAACTTTCGTCAATTTGTCCTTTTTGCCCAATTTCCGTCCAAATTAACGGTTTTCACGTTTTTCCGTCAAATGGGCCATTATTTTATTATAAAAATTTAAACTGGACCCTTAAAGAATCAGATTTATTCCTTAATCACTTTTGACTTACAATTAATTATGTTGGGTCAAAGTGGAGAGAAATTCCCCCCCTCCCCAAAAAATTTGTGGGCTCCACATGGCCCAAAAACATTCCCACTTTATAAAAGGTCAAACCCCTTATTTCAGTCTGATTCCACACTGATTTCAACCGGAAATATTTTTTTCTTCTTCTCCACTTTTTTCTCTCTATCGTGAATCAACAGAGCATGGCACAATTGTGCAATTGTGGAAGCCTTGCAGCACTTCGCACTTGTTGGAGAGGCAACAACTTGGGCAGAAGGTTTTTGGCATGTCCTCACTGGCCAGATCCTGGGGTGTGCAATTTTTTTGTGTGGCTAGATCCCCAGTTGGAGGTTAGAGGATGGGTGATCATCCAAGGTCTGCTTAGGAGGATAAATAACAGTAGGGACAGGTAGAACATCTTAGAAGCCAAAAATCTAAGATTGCCAAGGCGTGAGCGACGAATTTGGTTTTATGTTGCTGCTACTGCCATTGTGGTGGTGTGTATGTGTTTGATGAGGAACTAGGTTCTTCATAGCAATTATCAAGACCAGTACTTTATTCAAAAAAAACAAATCAAGAGCAGTACTGTCCTGTATCTTCAGTAGGTTATCTAGGTAGTAATATTTTTCTTTATATTGGGTGATGATAAGAAGTAAGCACTTGGTTTTCCCTTGTACTCTCTTATCGTTTTGAATTCTGGAATGGAAAGCGTTTCCATATACTTTTGAATGCATTTGAATTTGATTGTGTTGGGTTGGGAATATATTAAAAGGCCAGTTCATGGACAACATTGGCCATATTGGTCAAATATTTAGGACAAAATTGGCCAAAAATATCAAACTGTTGGGTAAAATTAGCGAAATTTGTGAAACATGTTAGACAACATTAGCCAAATAATTGGTTAAACCAAGCATCACTTCACATCTTCTAATCTTCACTGCTGGTGTAAAATATAAAGAAACCTTAAATAAAGAAGCATTTGAATGCAAGGTGAAAATAATTTCATATATTAATAATCTTGACTATCAAGCACATATGAATACCTTACACAGTTCAAGGCATATTGTGCAACAAAAAAACCAAGTGATTTCCAAAGCAAAAGGTGCCAAGGTCTAAACAAAAGTACTACTTTCAACCTGCAACCTTGCAGTAGTAAATATTCTAGTAAAATAGGAAGACAACCAAATTATTGAATTACATCACTTGACATGTGACTTCTTCTTCCCATCCTTCTTTGCTACATTATTTGAGGAAGATCCGTTAACAGGCTTAGTGCTGAAATTTCCATCAAAACGGCTACTTTTGACAGTGTTACGATGAGAGCCTTGATACAAGTCATAAAGAGCTTTTGAACTTTTCACTTGTGGAACATCAGGGATCAAATTCTCCACTGTTGACATTAGTTGCTCAAATGTGGCCAATGCATCCGCAACAAAATTCTTATCATTGACACTTTCTGGTGGTTTAGGGGTTGAAGAAGGTGCAGCCACATGTCCAAAAGCTTCCACAAAACTCGATTTACTGTGAATGTTGTTTGTGGTTGGATCTTCATCAATATTTTCATCAACCAGTTTGAAGGGAGGTTGTGAACTTGATGTCTGCTGAATTCGTCCTTTTTCAGATTTGCGAACCCTTTTTTCAGGTTGAGATGAACTAGCAGCCTGTCAATATTATGAGCCTTCACATAATAAGTATTCAAACTATCTTTTTCTAATTCTACTGAAATAAAGCTCCATAACTAGTATATATATTCACCAGAAAAAAAAAATCGAAATTCTTAACAAACCTTGTATTTTCTCTTTTTTTTTTGTTTTCAGTGGAGGATTTGTCTCAACATCAGTATGTCCAGGTAGTTTACCTGTTTCCCTAGGAATGATAAATACCGAGACATTTTCCCGAGTAGCCTTGTTAGATCTCTTTGGTGGATCACGTCCCACATGTATCATCGGTCTACGCTGCTCATCAGAATACTGCAACACCACAACATCATGTTCTAACATCTATTTTTTTACCTGTCACATATTTAGAAAAACAGTTATTTGCAGGCTTCTCAATAAACCAATACTTAAGCCAAATGAAACTTAACTCATCATACCTCTGGTTTAAGCTACTCAATGTTATCACGCAATATATTAGCTACGTGCTTTAAATCTAACCTGCAAACATCATCATGTTAGTAGGATTGTGTACAATTTTAAGTAATTAAATTATTGTATCAAATTTACAATACCTCAGTTTCTTTTTCTAAGCCAATGTCCTCACACACCTCAACATGAACATCTGCAAGGGTATCCAGACAACCCTCCATTGAACTCACTTGAGCATCCAAATGGACCTCAGTACAGTGGAATCCATCAGCAACATGGACTTCCGTTGACAAGTTCTCCCTTGAACTCACTTGAGCA